AATTAAAAAAGATTTTATGGTACGTTTTTCTTCTTATACTCAATAAACTTATATAAACCACCTAGCAACAATTTACGACTTTAATATGTTTATATACCATAGCTTTGATATTACTGTATAATAATCTCATTTAGATAATTTTTAAAAACAATGATTTTTACTGTTTCCAATTTTATCTCAACACTATACTCAAATCTCTTGGCGTAGTTAAAATTTAGTCAATACATGCATAAAACATTTTTTATCATATTTAATAAATAAAAATCAACATATAATTAGCTTTGAAAACAGCAGATCTTTGCTTTGCTATCAGATTAGTTTATTTCATTACTTCGGGTTTATAGACAAAAACTGTGAATTAATGTAAGAACATATTAAAGCGCTTTATAAAGTGTGAATTATTTAACAGGGAAATAAGTTCATGAATACAATTGCAATATAGTTTACAACATAAGAGAGACCAGATGCCAAGACATTAATTTTTAAGCACATGCTTTGTTAACCAATGCAAAATATGCAAAAACGGCATGTTTTAAAAAGCAATCGGTACCTAAGAAATAAAATTTAGAAAAAATCCAAAACAATTTTATATTTCTGAATTTTAACTGATTAAAAATTCTGCTGGAATTTCAGTAAAGCATTATACTCTATTTTGATGTTATCTACTGTTGCTTGACGAAAATGAGCAATTTAAATTATAATCTGATAGTTGTGAAGCTATCAAAATAAAATAAATTATATCTTATTTTTATTGCAAAATATTTCAGAGAGGGCGGAAAACTCATTTAATAAGAATTCTGGAAAATAATGAATCAAATTTTCTGTCAGTAGGAAAAAAAAAAGAATATTGTTTTTTAATTTGAATAGCACATCATTATAATCTTACAGAAGAGTAACTACAAAGGGATTTGAGAGTTTTTGTCTTTTATGCTGTATTTTAAATTGATTAATTGATTTCAAGAACCGGTTGTCCGTTGGATTTAGCGTAATTAATTAAACAAATGAATAAATTTCGAAATATAATTTTCTAAAACATAAATGTTAATTAAAATTTCAGAATTATTTATTTAATTTAAAATGTCTGCATTAAGCTCCTGTAATTAAAATAGTCAAATCGACGTGTTCGTTACCATGGGAGGTCTAAATGGAATTAATGCAGAACGCAACAAACATTTCAATTAGAGCATGGAGCTTCTTAAAGGGAATGTTTCGAAATTCTTTACAAAATTTTCTTCATCTATCCGGATAAAAAAGCCACAGCTTATACCTTCTTCGATCTTTAATTAATTATCAAAAGTAATACGATCTTTAAATTGTTATAAAATTAGCTTATCAGTCAGCTTTGGGAAATTTAGTGCTTAACTGTAGCCATTCACATTATCCATATCACAATTTGTGTCTCATGATATAACTTTCTACGTAACGCATTGCTAGTTTAAAGATGTAGCAATACAACAGACAATGACTGAAAGCCATATTTATTTACACAAATAACTTATAGTACAGTGATAAAATCGTTACAGTTACATAAATTACAGTTCGGTTCGACTAATGATACTTAAAGCGATCATTAGCTCATACAACCACCATAAGCGGCAATAGTTACTGATTTCTTGTCCGGTGTACAAACGAAGGATGTTCGATGTTGGAAACATAAGCTGAGCTTTAGCAGAACTAAGACGAAGATGATCGCGTTCTCAAAGGGAACTAAGCTCACCAGCTATCCGCCCAGATCAGTTGGAAAGACATTCCATACGGAATAACGAGATTTTGAAGTATCTCGTATTCATGCTAGGTAGGAAGTGAACGTGTGTTGTCCATCTAATAGAGATGTGGAACAGAATTAAAAGAATTGTAACCTTCCTGCATAGACTGATGTCTTATAACTAGAGTCTAAAAGGCAGAGTATAGAAGCAGTTCTTAAAAGTAATGCTGCGACTTTTTCTGTTTATCTGCCCATTATGGTGGTACTGTAGCGGAACAGTAAAGAGGTAGGAATAAGCTTATCCAGGCTCAAAAAATTGTGCTCTTGAATGTTAATAAAGCGTTCTTCACAGCTCCAACATCCACACTACAAGTTATAATCGGGACCCTTGGATTTTTAGCCAGAATAGAAGTCTAAGATGTTCAGACTCGTGCATTAGAAGTAACATACGATCTTAGACGACTTTTAATTCGAAGTGAGTAAGAAGAAGATAAGATTCTCACAAAGATAAATCACTCTGATTAACTGACAGCTATAAAGTGGCGCAGAAATCTTTCTAGCCGGAAAGGGGTAGAAATATTTACAGATGATCCGATAATAAAATCAGAGCGCCTCTTCGCCTACTCAAACGAGCATGAAACTCATACTTGTCGCACTTATACAAGTTTTTCTGTCGCTGCATTACTGCTGAGAGAATGAGAGAGCAATAAATATCTTCTCAAACTGCCAAAGTGCATTAAAAGCGTCGGGTACGAATGAGAAAGTCTCACTATTGATCCGAGCTTCGCATTAAACTAATTAATACAGAGTCTCAAAAGCGTCCCGTCACTGTTTACTGGCTAAGGACACACACTGTCGTGATATGAAAGGAAGTTGCACACAGAGCAGCTAATGATGTATCAAATAAAACTAACGTTGATATGAAACGCCCTGTCTTAAGATTTAGGGTGAAACATAGTGAGTTTAGTCATATGTTTGACACCTGGCAAAGAAGATGGGATGAAGAAGAAATAGGATGGATCACGTGTGAATACTTCCCGAACGTCTTAACGTGTAAAGACGGATTGCAATACGATCCAAATCATGACTGATCATGCCAAATTTCCCTTATATATCAGTTTCTTAAGAAGGTATGCGAAGTGTGGATGCGGGGCAAAAGTAGAGACTGCAGGTGCTGAGCATCTCATATGGTCTGTCCAATATTTTCAAATACAAAAGCGAAACATCTCAGGCTACGCAGTATTAGGGCATGACTCTTAAATTTATTTTGGCAACTTCCCCCATAATTTTTAACAGAATACAGCGGGAAAACCAAAATTAATTAGTGCACGGTAAAACAAAGACGTGTGAGGCTAAAGTGATGTCTGGTTAAAGTACATGGATGCGTTGAATGACATGAAGTCGTCCTTTCAGACGCTTCACCGTGCAACATCATTATAGACGTGTGCACATAAGAAGCAGAGATGTATTAACTATTAAACAAAATAACCACTTGCGTAGGAAATCAAGGATAGGGGGCACCAGAAAATATTCCCATCGTTGGGTTTTACCACAGAATGTATAGTGCAGCTAAACAAAGTTCGAGAGAGACGAAAATTTCAAAAAATATACATTATACTGCAAATACATTAAGAGGGGGTACCAAACTCATTTAAGTCCTTAAAGTTCTCTAAAAGTCTTAATCGGGCCCTTGTAAGACGCTATCGTTGGGAGAGCTTATTGGAATTGTCTTGCCTTCCTTTCGTCATGCATGGTTAACACTGAGAATTTCGGTATTGGGGGTGGAGTAGCTAGATACGAATCTTGCTCACATATCTCATATTCCGACCAGTTAGAATTACATTATAGGCATATTGTATAGTAGAGCGAAACAGGATACTGACCTGGCATTACGAAGTATAAAGCAAAAGTCTAATAAACGCTTCCTAAGGTCGTGTGGTGTGCTCCCCAAGATAGCGTCATACGTGTAATCATTTGTTGTTGCCTGATATTTTCAGGAGTACTTTGCAGCCATCTTCCAACAAGACAATGCGCGACCATGCATCTCACTTAACGGTGGCCGCGCTCTAATTAAGCAGGTCTATTCTTGATTAAACAGGTGAGGTTTATTTTGTTACATACAGTGGCATGATAAAGATCGCCAGCGCTTCCAACACTTGAACTCTGGCAATGAATTATGTAGGACTATTTCTTTAATGTTTGTTGACATTTGGACTGCAAAATGCCAAAATGCCATCCTTAGTCCCTTCGACTCTATTCTTAGCCATATAGTAACACTTACTATTGCACATGGTGATCACATTCGGTGCGTATAATAGCACACTCTTTTTTTACCTGAAAATCTGCTAATTTTATTTTTGTATTATAATAAATTTGTAAAACAAACTTAGCTGTTTATGTTAGCTGTTATTATGCTTTCCCCTTGTTGGTGTTATAGTTTTAATGGTTAGCAGTGTTATTAACATAATCTTTATTTAGTTGCATATAAACTATACTTATCAACAGCGACTAAATATATAATTTATGTTAATTCATATGCAACATAAGTGCAGTGATTGTAAAATTGGGATAATCTGTTTTAACACCCACAATGTTTTTCTTGGTAATATCAAGTTACTTTTTGCTACACTTACGATTTTTTATGCTTTCATTCTTGCGATTAATCAGTATATTGGTTCATGAAAATATTTTATAAACAGATTTGAAATCAACAGGAAAAGTCTACAAAAACTGTTCATTCATTTCCATTTAATAAGCGAAAATTTTAATTCTCTTATGCAGTATTATTTCTATTAATACTGCATTCTGGCAGACTTACTTTTTAAAAATAATTTTAGTACTAACTTTCAATTGCGGAGCATTTCCAGAAACTGTTATAACAAATTTTTGGCCCCTAAATCTTCGTAAAATTCATTATTCACCTAATTTTATTCATTTATCCTATGATCAATACCCTGCCATAATTATAGGGAAAGAATGGATTACATACGTTCGGATATTACTCTCAAATTTCGCATTCATGTTTGTATAATACATGTGTATAAGATCTTGAATTGCTTGTACCTGCTGTCAAAAACCCGTGTTGGTATATTTGTATACATATTCACAAAGTTTAAAGTCTAGCCACCGTTTTTTACTGACGCCTAAGATCAAATACTTCAATTTTATGTCTGATGCCGTTAATTGCAGTTCTTTAGAATTAGTATAATTTTTAATAACTTTCATGTTCACTGTCTGTATTTCTTTTTATTAAGTCACTCTCAAGTCTAATAAAAAGTATTTTTTGTCTTTTCAGCTTTCATTTCAAAGTAAGTAGAAAGACACCACCTTGGTAAGAATGAAATAAAGAAGAGAATTGAACCTTGTCAGAGACACGGTCTCTTGTGAAATTGTCAAAGAACTCATTTGTGCCAAGCGATCAAGAAAGATTTATTTCTTCATATGAACAGTTCTTTTTCTTTTCACTTTAAGAATAAAATAAATGATGTATCCAAAGCTAAAATATTTTACTCCCCATCCAGTTTCTGTTGTTTTCTTTGTGTCTTTAAGTACTGTTTTAATGTATAAATGTATTCTATATGAAATTAAATGTAAACTGTTTACGTCTTTTTCTCTGTTCAGTTTTTCTATAATTATAATCAGATTGAGAAAATACATCATTGTCGTTAGATATGCTGTCTTAAAAAGCAAATTTTATGTCTAAATACTGAATGTCCATATTTTATTTTATAATATCACTTAAAATGCGACGTAATTGAATGTATGCAGAGTTACGTGTCTTTTATAATGAAAACTAAAGATCAGCAGGTACAGTTTATTTTAAGAAAATAGCAACAGTATTTAAAATTTAAAATGGTATGGTCCACAAAATTTAAACTAATCATTATTATTCTCTAGAGTTTAATAATTTTAAATAATAAATATAAATATGACGATAAAACTATACTTGGATTTCCAGTTTTGCATCTCAGAACTTTTCAGCAGTCATGCAGAGAGTAAATCTTTTAAGAAATTTTATTCTTTAAATGAATATGAAGATAAAAGTTCAGTTAGTTTGCCATCTTCATTTCTGAAATTTATTCAAATGAAAATTGTTGATATCATCTTCACAGACTTCTTATGCATTCGTGAAACCTTAATCAAGCTAACAGGGCCATTTTACACGTTATCTGTTTCCTCTGTTATTAGAACTGAATGTAATCGACAGTATAAAGACTGAGTCACATGGAATGAATGTATGTAAGTAAACATAGGTTATAACTATTTCTAAAATTTCTTTTAAAATCATCTGAGCAATAAAGTAATACAAGACACAGATAAAATCTTCCCAAATATTAATAATTCATTCGAATTAATTCATTTTCCAAAGCTAGACATATAGAATTTCTCTTTTACAGTTCTGAAATACAACGTGCTGCTTTTTATTATAAAAACTACCACTATGAATGTTCCTGCAATTCCGATATAATTTATTTATTTATTTATTATTTTTTTAGCTACAAAGGCACAATTTGTTCTCCTATTTTACATACTGTTACGTTTTTACGAGTTCACGGATTTGGAGTGATTGACGACAACATTTGATGAAGAATAAAAACACAGTTTATTAGTTTATTATCCAGTATGACTCAGGACTGTTCCAAAATCACGTTTATAGTCGTCGAAAAACTACAACAAACACGCTGAAACAATCAGCATTACAGCCTTCAGGCTATCAGGCTATAAAGTTTAAGACAGCTTCACGGCAAAGCTCCCGACTCGGTTCAGTCGTTCTGGGAACTCTACGTACTCTCGAGACTCTCCACGCTACACTCGCGATGCACTCGACGATAAGCACTAGAGTACAGCTCCCAACTCGGTTCGATCGTTCTCGAAGCTCAAAACACTCAAGATAGAACTCGACGAGACACTAGCTCGTGATCAGCTCGGTAGACGAGACACTGACTTGCGATTGATTGCTACTCCGCGTACAGACAGGGTTTATGTAGCTTTTGGGCTGCCTTCGAGAACATTCTGGGCCACACCAGTAAGAATTCTAGAAGGTTCGCCATCCGTCTATGTGATGTCGCCAATTTTGTCTCCAAATGGGAGATTTCTCACCAAATATGGAAACCCTGCCTTCCCTTGCCATTTTCTGGCAACCCTAAACCCTCTTTACGAGGAAGTTATCTTACCGCAGCTGGACTTTTCGTAACAATATATTTGAAAACACCTTCTCAGCATATACTCCACATAGTAGATATATATTAGATACGCTTTTTGTTCATAAGAATAAACATTTCTGCCATTGTAGACAAAAAACTGACGCTTCCAATTAATTCATTGTATGGAAGCCTTGAACAGTAGTTAGATATTAATCAGTGTAAGTCTTGAGCTCGTAGCTAAGAAATGCATTTACGTCACTTTTCTTAAATGCAGTTACAACATACGCAAACATGAATGCATTATAGAAAAATGAACCACTATTACTGTAAACAACACTCTGCACGTACAGTGAAATCCATTTAAAAGAGTATACATTGTTCAACATGGTTTTGATATTCTGTGGGCATAATTACTTTAAAAAACATAATGAACACAGAAATTTATGTATATTCGCAAATATTTATGCATGTTCTCAGAAATATTGGCTATTTTTAGATGTAGTCTTTTTTTTAGACGCAGCCTTCGTCTCTTTAACAAAATGGTTACTGTCATAGCTTCACTATTTATCAACACACACACACAGTTATTCAGCAGTTATGTGTAACAAAAAACCATATTGGGTAATATATAGAGTTTCATCAAAACTTTGAAATTATCTTACGTAATCCTGTAACTTTCTGGCTTAAACGAATAACCTTCACTAATAAAACGCTTGAATAGATACAAGTGTCGACTGCAGCAGCTTAGTTGTTTGTTAAAGTATTGCTACGAAATGGGCAGGCGCGGTAAGATGGCTTTCCCGCAAAGCAGTTTTTGGGTTGCCATAAAATGGCAAAGGAAGGCAAGGTTGCCACATTTGGCGAGAAATCGCCCATTTGGAGACAAAATTGGCGATGTGCCATGGATGGTTGGAGAACGTTCTGGAACGAATTCTTACCGGTTTAGCCTAGAATGTTCTCGAACAAAAGCCGAAAGCTATATAAACCCTGCTGGTCCGCAGTGTGGGAGAGTGTGCCTCGTCGAGAGGTGCCTCGCATAGAGTGGGAGATAGTTAGTATCGAGTTGATGTCCCGTCTAGCGAGTCAATTCCTGCGGAGTCGATCGAGTTGACAGCCGGGCAGCGAGTGCCGAGTTCACCGAAGGAGTCTCTTAGTGTATCGCGGTTAGTGCATCGTCGAGAGAGCGTGCTGAGCTCCGGGAACGACTGAACCGAAGAGTCGGAGCGGTGCTCTGTGTGTCGTCGAGTGCATCGCGAATTGTAGCGTGGAGAGTCTCTAGAGTGCGTGGAGTTCCAAGAACGAACAAGCAGAGTCGGGAGCTGTACTCCGGAAAGCAGAGTCGGGTGCTTTGCAGGAAGCTGTCTCCACCGTGCTTGCCTGATAACCTGAAGGCTGTGTCGCTGATCGTGTCATCGTGTTTATAGTAGTTCATCGACGACTGTAAAACGTGTTTTGGAGCTGTCCTGACAATACTGGCTAATAAAGTGTGTTTAGATACTTCATCAAATGTCGTCGTTATTCACTCCAAATCCACACGAACCCCGTACGAATTGAAGGAAGAAAATAACGTAACAACCGGTGTCAGAAGAAGAAGAAAAACGCAACAGTATTCTGCACCAGCGTTTTTAAAACCAATTGTTAACAAATTGAGAGATTCTACTTTGAAATGGAGATATATCCCCAAAATATGGATATAACATCCCCAAAAAAGTGGGAACCTTGAATGCAGTACTTTCATGATATTCACAGATGTAAAAAACTGTCCTGATGAAGATTAGTACTAGAGAGTATAGATGAGAAGCTGAGGAGTAAATAAATAGAAATTAAGAAGATGAATCATGAGAGCATAGCAGAGCTATTGGGAAGTTTGCTTCTGTAAAACCGATAACTATTTTTAGGGAACCATTTCATTTCATTTTTAGCCATTCTTAATTAATAAGTACTTCAGTTTAAATAATCTTCTAAACTTACATTCTTCAACTAATGAAAATATTTGCAGAATAAACCGTTGCTAAATGATACTTAATAAGAATCAAAATTGAAGAAAACAAGTCGCTAGATCATTTATTTAACAGATTAAAAGTTGAAAACTCTAACAAATATAACAACGTTGATTAATTATAGCTAATAAAGTGAACTTCTACTTTAACGTCTACTATACTTAACCGTGAAGGTGTAGGCTCTGGCTGTGCTAATTAATTTCTAGTAATACATGAAACTGGGAAACTGGATTGGACATTAGTATGACTAGATATCCCAGCAGCATTATAAGTGTATTAACATACTTTTCATAGCTATGAAGTTAGCTATTTTCCATATATAATCTAATCTATTTTTTATATTTAATTTCTTGATAATTATAGAAATTACTTTTCGTGTCATTTTAACTACCTAATAGTTATTAATATATGAGTCTAAATTCTAAATTTTTATGAACATGAAGAGCGTTTTGTCCGATATTCGAAGCTATAAACTGACTTAAAAATATTCATTTTTGTTATAAGACTAGCATAGTTTAACATCCATTAGTTAGGCAGCAATAATTCTTCAGAAAAATACATTTGGTTTTTGTCGAGTTCTTTTTTGCAGTGTCTGAATCGGTAAGTAACAAGATAAAGTCCAACTGAAAGATTTCCATTTTCCTGCTAGTTTAACTCATTATGCTAAATATCTACAAATAAGAAGAATGAGATATAGTTTCAGCCTTTTTAATGAAATTTGTTTTAATAATTTGATGTCATCAGCAATATTGCTACTCGTAATGAATGAGGGCCCACCAGCGGCCGAGCGGTAAAGTCGCTGAACACTGGTAGTTCGGTCCGAGGTTCGAATCCCGCGAACGGGCTGGCTGCATGGGCGTTTTCGTGGTTTTCCCCATGTGTAACGTGTATACGAGCCAGTTTCCCTTAGAAAGTCCTCCACGAAAGGCATCCCTCCTCTTAGGCAGATAGCCCTAGTGTGCTTTGCCATAATTAAATACACCACCACACCACACCACCGTAATGAATGTTCTGACAGTCCGTCTTTAACTGTTTTATTTCATTCACTTGCTAATTTTATAAAACAGGTAACATGAATACTTCTAAATTAGGTTAGATACAATTTTCACGCCAACTTTGTATTAGAACAGTTTGTTTATAGCGTAGAAGGAAACTTTTCCCATTTGAAAAGCCTTGCAGATATTCTTTTAATTTTATTACTGTCTTCTAAGACGAATAACATCACTCGTAAAACTTTAATGCGTTGTTTCATCGTTATATACATTGTAACAACGGTTCATGTATTAATGCAATTTCTTAAAACCCTTTTATAAGGCAATATTATTCTAGAACCCTTCTTTGGATTTTAATGTGTTTGATAACGATCCAAATATTAAACCCTTATCTTAAACATAGATGACAGAAAATACTTTATTTGAATTATCTAACAAAAAGATATTTTACGCACATTTACTTCCTAATAA